AAAAAAAAAAAAAAAAAAAAGCTATAAGACAGATCCAGGATGTCTCAGCTGCATATATCACTGTACTCCCACTTAACACTTATTGTGATGATAAAAGACTCATCTTGCTTTGACCTTCTCGAAACTTTTGTCGCTCCACCCGGCAGAGAACTCATCGCTGTCTCGGCTATGCGACCAAAGGCTCTAGGGAAGTCAAAATAGGAGAGCACTCATCTTGGGGTGAGCTTACTACTTAGATGCTTTCAACAGTTATCCACTCTGCACTTGGTTATCTAGCGTGTACCGTCGGCATGATAACTAGTACACCAGAGGTGTGTACTTCCCAATCCTCTCGTACTAGGGAAAGGTCCTCTCAATGCTCTAACGCCCACATCGGATATGGGCCGAATTGTCTTGTATTTTTGGTCTAACACTCGAGCACATCGAATTGACACCAAATTTAGTTGCATCTTACACTCATGCACTTAAGGGTTTGGGTTAGGGCCCCAAGACACCCATTAAGCTTGTTACACCGATGACACTATTGTTTTCTTCATGCTTGCGCCTGAACTTAGACATTTTTATGTATATGATCCACTATCCTCGGTTGCATGACAACACTTCTCTCTTGGACGTTGACATGGCTTGTGTGAGATCTCACATCGGTTGGAACATTCCTTAAAGATGTAGAAATCTATTCCTATCAGACTCATTTTAAAATCTTAAAGATGTAGAAATCTATTCCTATCAGACTCATTTTAAAATCGTGAGGCTGACGACAATACGTAACATGCTAAAATGAACAATATCTTCTAACAATAAACTTGAGCTATTATAAATGGTATCAGAGCGAGACATCGAGTGGTGTGGAAACCTCTTCGTAGATACATTTTCAAATTGCATTGCTTTTGTGCAGCACTCACTTGCGTCGCTTACGGCCAAGCGACATATGCTCGAGCCTCTGGCCTTGGTTTTAAGAGAAGGTTTTAGAAAACGAGGGTAGAGAGAGATTTTCGAAAAAGAGATTTTTGAAAGAGACAAGAAATAACAACAGCTCATAGTATATAACCTTGGGTAGGGAGCGGACAAAATGACTCTCTATTCGATTTTTCAAATTTTTTTTTTCACTCGTGATGAATGATCAAAAACTAAATATTTATACATAAAAATATTAATTTATAAATATTTATTTAATTTTCATTTTTTTATAATTCTTAGTTTACTTTTTTTTTTTTTTTGTTCACAATAGTAACCAATATATTAAAACATTAATCCAACATTAACCCCAAAAATTTAAAAATAAAAAATTATTGAAACTGTCGGGGAAATATATATATATATATATATATTATATTGCTCGGAAGTGACGTGGGTAGACCGTACCGCACCGGGAGGAACACGGCCATCGAAGAAATTTCGGTTACTTGCAAAATTTCCAACTCCAATTTCGAGAGTTGCGAATCCAATTCGAGCAGATCAGCGAGTTTCTTACTGGGAGTCTCTTCTACACTGCTGCTTCTCTCTCCAGATTCTTCATTCAATCCGTAATTCTCAGAACAACGCAGGTTCTGTCCTCTTTTCTGATGCTCGTCTCTTCATTTTCACGTTTCTGTTGAATGTTGAGTCTTTACCTGATTTTTGCAGGGATGTATTGAGCTCTGCGTTTGAGATCTGATCCATAACTATCTGTTATCTTCTTTCTGGTTGCACTCATGGGGATTTTGTTTACTCGAATGTTTTCTTCGGTGTTTGGGAATAAGGAAGCTCGGATCCTTGTTCTTGGCCTTGATAATGCTGGGAAAACTACCATTCTCTGTAGGATTTCTTGATTTTTTGCTTCTAGTTTGATGTTTTAGGGTTTGTGTGATGTTTTGATGGAGATTTCGCGCCATTTTGTAATGGATTCTTTTGAATGTTGTGCAGATCGGCTCCAGATGGGGGAGGTTGTCTCCACAATTCCAAGTTGGTATTCTTTCCCAATGTGATATTGTGTTTCTATGTTTTTTGCTAAGTGGAAATGGTGTTGGAATTTAGAATTCGATAGGAGTAAGAAGCATTTTGTCAATCAAGATCATGTTAACTACGATTTGAATTTTCGCATTTAAATTTAAGTGTTTATGTGGAATTGCCACAGTAGTTGCTGCATTAGTTCTATAGATCATTGTGTTACCAATGGTTAGCTTGAAAACAATGGTTGACTCCTTACCATGTTGTTTTTGTTCTTTTTGTGGGATGCCCATCTAATTTAGAAAAGGGGAATGATCGGAAATTACATCCTGAATGTTAAAATTTATCGACTTTAGTTCTTCAATTGTTTAACTGTGAACAGTGAAAGGATGATTGGAGCACAACAGTTGAAGGTTAGCCAATGGGTTCCAAGGGGCAAGCTATAGATCTAGGTCTTTCAAGATGATGGGCTCAAACTATAGTAGTTTTCTGTGTAGCTAACATGAGAATTTTCTGTGACTGAATTGTTTTCTGCGGAGATATCGATCTAGGTTCAGCGTAATGCTTCATTTTGGGTTTTGTTAGTTTGTAGGTTTCGATGCTTTTCCTTTCTTCTTCTACTTTTTTACTTTCTAATTTACGAGAGGTTTTACGTGTAGACTTTTTGTAAATTTGGTGGGGTATTTTTTTGTGCGTCCCAGTTTGTTTTTCGATGCTTCCCGATGCCTTCTTGTTACAGTATCTTCCAATTTTTTAATGGAGGTTTCATAAGTGAAAAGTTGATTTGATAATAATTGTTTCTTGCATTGGCTTTCTTCTTCAGCTACTGTTCAAATATCTTTTAAACGCTATCCTTTTCTTGATGCAGCAATTGGATTTAATGTTGAAACTGTGCAGTACAACAACATCAAATTCCAGGTCTGGGATCTTGGTAAGCCAATCTAGGTCCTGATATATGTTCGTGAGATCTCATGTTGTTTCGTTTTCTTCATGATTTCTCTGATGATATCTCAACACACTCTAAAGAAGGAGAAAATAAGAGAGAGAGAGGAGCATGTATTGTTATGCTAAATTGATAAATAGCTTTTGAGGATAGATTTGTAATGATTTTATTCTACTCCCACAAACGTGCGATCTGGCGTGAAAACTAATTTCATATTAACATTAATGTTGTAAAGAGTTATTAAAACTCTCTTTTTTTCTACAAAAAAAAAAAAAAAAAAAAAAAAA